AGCCCTCTATTCTCTACAACAGAGGACGCCGGGCTGCAGAGGTATTATGCTGCGAGGAGTTTTAGGCGCTGGAGTGGAGATATTACACAATGGAACGACGCAGCCTTGCGCCACCAGTTCCGGTTGGGACTGTCGGAAACCACTCGAAGGACGAGTTGGCAAGCGAATAGGGGTTCCAGACTCCTTGGAAGGTCTAATAGATCTGCGATCCAAATCGATCGCAGACTGCGGGGAAAGGAGACAGGAGAAGTCCAGGCCAGGGGCAAAGTACCTCATGGATGCTGCCAAAGAAGTACCAGTCATGCCAAGGGTCATTGTCGGCAATCGGGGCCCCAGAGCCGTAGAGGAGCCGTCAGAGCAAGGAGACCCCAACCCAACAACCAAACCCGTAACCTATGCAACTCGGCTTTGATGCGGCCTTCCCCTTTCTACTGAGGAACGACAGAGGCGCTTCGGGCAAACAACCTGTGTCTGTACTGCGGGAGCAGCGGGTCATATGGTGCGCTCCTGTCCGGAGAAATACCTGTAAGTCCTCTATTTTCTCTAATATATCTACTGTGTGCACAGGCAATCACCCACTCACTTGGCTGTACCTGTGGTCTTTTCAGCTCCCAGGAGGAAGCATACAGGTGACGGAGCTATTTATTGACTCCGGGGCATGTAGCTGCTTTGTTGATCTCAGTTTTGCTACCCAGCATCAGATACCGTTACTCACCAAAGAACATGGGTTGAATATTTTTCTTGGCAGATGGGGTCTCAAATAATAAAATCGGGACGGTAGATCGGGAGACTCCTCCCATACACACCACAGTGGCGGGACATCACCAGGAGTTCCTCCGATTGTTGGACGCCATCGCGTCCCCCCTATTTCCAGTTATTCTGGGGCTCCCCTGGCTACGAGCTCACGACCCCCAGATTGACTGGAAGACGGGTCAGTCCAGTTTCCCTCACAATACTGTCAGGAACATTGTTTTATCTAAGTTATCATTAAATACACAGGCCCTACTGGCTGTAAGCCCTGATGCCAGTTAGCCCAAATTGTGCCTGCTGGCCTACCACCAATTCTTGGATGTTATTTATTCCACGGGGGGCAGAAGTTCTTCCCCACCACATCGAGCATATGATCGCCCCATTGATCTGCTCCCAGTTCAGAAATCCCTTTTGGCCGCATTTTTCTCCACTATCTGAGCGAGAACTAGGGGCACTAAAAGAAATACATTGATGAGAGCCCTCCGTAAGGGATTTATCCGCCCTTCACATCACCGGCCGGGGCAGGGATTTTCTTTGTCGAGAAAAAGGACGGACCTGAGACCTTGTGTTGACTACAGGGACCTCAACAAGATTACGGTCAAAAACCGCTACCCCCTTCCTTTAGTTCCAGAGTTGTTTCAGAGGTTAAAATCAGCATCCATTTTTTCTAAACTGGATCACTCAGGGGTGCCTATAACTTTGGTAAGGATACGTGAGGGGGATGAGTGGAAAACGGCGTTTCACGCACTCGGTTCGGGCATTTTGAGTGTATCTAGTCATGCCTTTCGGGTTATGGTTAATGCACCAGCCACCTTCCAGCACTTTGTCAACGACATTTTCAGGGACTTCCTTCGGACATATTTGTAATCGTCTACTTGGACGATATCTTGATATATCCTCCTCGTCTTTTTGGAAGCACATCTGGGGACATGTTAGGAGTGTGCTAGAACGTCTCTACCGTCAGCATGGGACTCTACGCTAAGCTGAGAAATGCTGTTTTGAACAGAAAAGCATCTCATTTCTTGGTCTAATTATCTCCACCAGGGGGGGGATCGCTATGGACCCTCAAAAGATCTCGGCCATCCCTGGAATGGCCCCTGCCGCCTGCCCCACGGATAAGAAGGGCGTCCAGAGGTTTATTGGGTTTGCCAAATTTTTTATAGAAAATTTATAAAGAAACTTTTCAGGCCTGGGTAGCACCCATTACTCAGCTCACCAAAGTGGGAGTACGTTTCCAATGAACCCCAGCAGCACAAGGCAGCTTTTGAGGCATTGAAAAAGCTATTCACAACGGCTCCCTTCTGAACCATCCTGATGCATCATTGCCTCCCTACATACTAGAGGTAGATGCATCGGAAGTGGCTGAAGGTAGCAGCAGTGTTATCACAGAGGGTAGGGGCCAAGGAGCTGATGCACCCAGTTGGCTTTCTTTTCTAGGAAGCTCTCCCCTTCGGAAAGGAATTATGATATTTGGGGGATCGGGAATTACTGTCCATTAAAGACCGCTCTGGAGGAATGGCGATATCTGCTAGAGGGGGCCCCCACATCCCATTCTGGTCTCATACCGACCACAAAACCTTGAGTACTTGAAAACCGGCTAAAAGCGCCTCGTCCTCGCCAGGCCAGATGGGCATTGGTTTTTTGCAAGGTTTAACCTCTACATAACGTATCGTCCTGGGTCAAAAAACACTAATGCCAGATGCTCCTTTCCCGGATGTTTGAGGACCCTGGAGAGAACCCCAGCATCCAGACACCCATCCTGCCAGCAGGTAGCTTCCTACTGCTTCAATCTGAGCTGTTTGTCTAAATTTGCAAGGCTGCTTCCACCCGGGTCTCTGACCTGCCTGGTGTCTCCCTACTGAATAAGGAGGGACTCTTCTGGAAGGGGGAACACAATCATGGTACCCAAGGAGGTCCAGTCCCTGGTGTTAGGTTACTGCCATGACCATCCCTAGCGGGGCACTTTGGGATAACATAAGACTATAGATCTGGCACGACGCACATTTTGGTGGCCAAACATGGCCAAGGATTGTGAAGCGTACATGAGATCTTGCCCCATCTGCAACCGGAATAAACCTACCAGAGACAAGGCCTGGGGCCTATTGAGACCTTTACCAATACCTGACCGTCCCTGGAGTATGATCTCCTTAGATTTTATTGTAGAATTGGCCACCCTCGCAAAGATCACACCGTGATCTTTGTAGGTAGTGGATCGCCATTTCTAAAATGGCCCATTTCCTTCCACTAGCCAAGACACCATCTGCCTCCGAAACAGCCAAGTGTTCATTAGAGAGATTGTGAGCTTCACGAGTGCCAAGAGAGATTGTCTCAGACCGGGGGGTGCAATTTACGTCCAAATTCTGGAAAGCGCTATGTGAGGGCTGGAGATTAAGTTATCATTTTTCGTCAGCATATCAGCCCCCCAGACAAACGGGCAGACAGAACGAACCAATCAGACTCTCTGAGCATATATCTGAGATGCTACACATCATTCCTGCAGAATGACTGGCTGACACTTCTACCAATGGCCAGAATTTGCATATAATAATGCGAATCATTCCGCCACCAACCAATCCCCATTCTTTGCCAATTATGGGTTTTCCATCCTACCTTCCTGCCAGACCTGGTTCCTGAGGGTACTCAGTCCCGGCAGCCCAGGACACCTTAGAGTTCTTTAACTACCAATAACAAGGTATAATTACAGGAAACAATGGCTAAGGCCCAAGAAGACAGTAAGAGGTTTTGTGACAGGAGGAGGAAGGGAGAATTGGTCATACACCCTGGGGATCGGGTTTGGTTGTCAACATGCCAACCTAAGACTGACATGCCCATCCAGAAAATTGGCCACCCAAATTTGTGGGACCTTTCCCAGTAGAACGCAAGGTTAATGAAGTGGCTATATTTAAACTGACTCTCCCCGAGTCCCTCAAAATACATCCAGTCTTCCACGTTATCATCATTATTAAAACCTGCAGTTCCAGACCCCTTTTTAGACGACCGCAGGTCTAGACCTCCAGAAAGCTATAGATATCAACGGGGAGGAGGAATTCGAGGTGGAGGCAAATTTTGGATTGTAGGAAGGGGGGTGGTCAGGTACCCAATACCTGATCAAGTGGAAAGGCTTTCGGGCCGGAGGAGAATTCGTGGGAACCAGCCCAGAATGTCCATGCCCCCAGATTAGTACGAGAATTCCGTCATAGCCAGCCACAAAAGGAGGAATCGGTACGTGGGCATCCGGAGGCTGCCCGTAAGGGGGGGGCAATGTCAGGGAATGGGAAGATCGCCTCGGCGATCGAATCTGCACATGCGTTAGAATCCTGACAAGACATACAGGCAGGCAGGCACTAGGACCCAGGCGCGTCTGTCACCGATGACGGCGCGGGCAGGCACTAGGACCCAGGAGCGCCTGTCAGGAGTTGGGCGGCCCTATTTAAACCCAGCTCTTGCAATGCTCAAGTGCCATATGGTCTTACCTGTTACCTGTGTTCCTGTTTTGATCCAGTGTTCCTGAATACCTTGTTGCCGACCCAGCCTGTTCCTGATACTGCTGTCTTCTCCTGCTCTGATCCCTGGCTTGTCTGACCATTCTCCTGCTTAACCCTGCACGTTCTGATCTCCTGTTAACGAACCCGGCTTGTGACCAGTTTATTCCTCTGCCTGCTGACTTGTACCACGCTGCACCATTGTTACCCGACCCAGCCTGCCTGACGCTGCTCTTGTGACCTCCTCACATCAGACTCTCACCTGCTATACACCTCCAACGGTGCTTCTACCACAGCTGGGTGAACTCAAGGGCCGCGACCTGGTCTCGGCCTGCTCCAAGTCCATCCCCACCCATCAGGGGCCCTGGTGAACAAGCAGGTAGGGACTTAGATTCCGCGCCCTTGGGGGAATCCGGTCTGTGGAGTGCTAGAGGCTACCGCTGTAGGATCCCTGACACTCTGTCTCCAGCTGCTCCATCTGTTTACAAACCTGCACTTACTTACAGTGCTCCGGTAACTAAAACCAGGAAAAGGCGAAAGTTCTTTCCAACCAATACCATCCTGCCAGTATCCAAACCGGTCAGCCTCCCATCTGAGAACCGGCCTTCCGTTGCTGCAGCCTGGTGCCTCGGCGCCCACAATTCAGCCTGATGCCTCTACCCAGCCTGATGCCTCTACCCAGCCTGATGCCTCTACCCAGCCTGATGCCTCTACCCAGCCTGATGAACTGATCCAGCCTGATGATTCCATTAGGCCAGTTGACTCGATGCCCGCTGTCGATCCAGACGATCCGGTACCTGATGACCCAGTGCCCGCTGTCATGCCTGGTGACCCGATGCCCGCTGTCGGGCCAGACGATCCAATGTCTGACCCAGTGCCCGCGGTCATGCCAGTTGACTTGGAGCCCACTGTCGTGCCTGGTGACTCAGTGCCCACTGCCTTGCCAGATGACGCGGTGCCCGCTGGCGAGCCAAATGACCTGATGCCTGGTGACCCAGTGCCCGCTGTCATGCCTGGTGACCCGATGCCCGCTGTCGAGCCAGACGATCCAACGACAGATGACCCGGTGCCGGCTGTCGATCCAGACAATCCGGTACCTGATGACCCGGTGCCCGCTGTCGTGCCAATTGACTCAGAGCCCACTGTCATGCCTGGTGACTCGGTGCCCACTGCCTTGCCAGATGACACGGTGCCCGCTGGCGAGCCAAATGACCTGATGCCTGGTGACCCGATGCCCGTTGTCGTGCCTGATGACCCGGTGCCCGCCGCTCCGCTGGGGGCCCGGTGCCTGCCGTCCCTCCTGGGGGCCCGGTGCCTGCCGTCCCTCCTGGGGGCCCGGTGCCTGCCGTCCCTCCTAGGGGTCCAGCGCCCGCCGCCCCGCCTGGGGGCCCGGCGCCCGCCGCCCCGCCTGGGGGATTGATGCCTGTCACTCCGCCCAAGGGCCCGGTGCCTGCTGCCCCTCCTGGGGGCCCAGTGCCCGCCGCTCCGCCTGGGGGCCCAGCGCCTGCTGCTCCGCCGGGGGGCCCAGCGCCCGCCGCTCCGCCTGGGGGCCCAGCGCCCGCCGCTCCGCCTGGGGGCCCAGCGCCCGCCGCTCCGCCTGGGGGCCCAGCGCCCGCCGCTCCGCCTGGGGGCCCAGCGCCCGCCGCTCCGCCTGGGGGCCCGCCGCCCCGCCTGGGGGCCCAATGCCTGTCGCTCCGCCTGGGGGCCCAATGCCTGTCACCCCTCCTGGGGGCCCGGTGCCCGCTGCCCTGCCTGGGGGCCCGGCGCCGGCCGCCCCGCCTGGGGGCCCAATGCCTGTCGCTCCGCCTGGTAGCCCGGTGCCTGCTGCTCTGCCGGGGAGCCCAGCGCCCGCCGCTCCGCCTGGTGGCCCGGTGCCCGCCGCTCCGCCTGGTGATCCGGTGCCTGCTGCTCCACCTAGTGATCCGGAGTCCAGCTCGATGTGCCTCTGCCCGGAGTCCAGCTCGATGTGCCTCTGCCCGGAGCATTTTGCCCAGCTAGGACTGTTTGGAGCGTCCTGAGGCCACTCCTTGAGGGCGGGGTACTGTCAGGAATGGACTTGCCAGTAATGGTGGGACTCACCTGCCTTGTGGGCTGCAGTACCAGGGCTGGCCAGCGGGTGCTCTCAGCAATCAGAGACTCAACCCTGCAGCCAGCCAAACACCTGAAGCTGATTATGCAGGTGTATTTAAGGGATGGCCAGACCTGCAGTCTGTGCCTTGGTGTGTGGTTTTCCTGGGCCCCTGTATCTTGTTACCTGCATCCCTGTATCTGTTCCTGTTCCCGTTCTTGTCCCTGTCTGACTGATTTGTTGCAGACCCTGCCTGATCCGGACCTCTGCTGACTTCTCCTGTTTGATCCCTGGCTTGTGATGACCCCGACCATTCTCTGCCTGACCCCCTGTACCTACCTGCCCGTTAGTTGCTGTACCCGGCTCGTGACCTGACTACTCTGTGCCTGCTCCTCCTGTTCCTACCTGCCCGATTGTTATTGACCCGGCCTGCCTGACGACGCTTGCATTGTATGTATTGTTATCTGTGGGTGGTTTGGTTTGGTTCGTTTGCACTGTGTTATGTTTTTAGTATTGCACTGCGTTTATGTATTGTTAGTGTTAATAAATTATATTGTTTATAACATATCTGAAGCCTGCGTTTCCCTGCATCAGTTCACATACCTCTGGTCATATCCTGGAGCCCTGACAACAACAGCACAGCAAAGGGGTAACAGAAAGGAGGTTAAAGGGTTAAAGTACTTGCCAAAGTCCTAGGTTAGCAGATCAAGTTTCAGAGCGAAAGGGTTGTCTCCCAAGCTGGTTCTGATGTTAAACGGGAGAATTCTTCAACTTCCTTCTCTTAAGCCTGACATCCCATTTTGTAGTTCCCTGGCAGGGGGTGTCTCTGAAGTCAAGGACCAATACCCCGTTTAGGGAGGGATCATCTGGGCGTGGACCTAAACTAGAGCCAAAATCTCTTATAGTTCATACTTTGGCCCATAACTTTCCCTATGCACAAGTGACATTCCACCCGCGGGTAGATTATTATGCAGATGCCTCTGAGGAGCGGGTAGATATGAAATACATATTTGAAGGGTTCCAGAGATGTAATTTACTGCTTTCCTATGTATTCCAGTCAGGGAGTGTGACCCACCAAACTGATTGTCTCCTCGTGGCCAATCTGAAGATATGCCTGGTTTTTATGTGAGTCTCTCATATTCCAAGATATGAGACATAGGGGAAAAATGGATTTTAAAAGTGTTATCTGGTTTCCTGCTTCTCTGGAATGCCTGGAACTCCTGGGAAGGCTTGCATTATCTCTTACGAGGTGCTATATGGCACAGCTCTCTCAGACAACCAGGCACCTCCCTCAGAGAGGTGTTTTATAGCTCTGGGCTCTGTCCTGCCTGTGACACTGCCAACACACACACACAACCAGAAGTCACTGTGGCTGAACAGAGAGGAAGGGGGGAGAATGAGGGACAACATGGAGATTCTTAACAAAATGGAGGGTTGGAGCAAAATGGTTGAACCGCGTCCATCTCTGTGTGTACGCTTGCTACAAGTGCCAACTACCAGTGCCTCCTTATCAGTGCCCATCAGTGCCACCTATCAGTGTCCATCACTGCAGCCTATCAGTGCCCATCACTGAAGCCTCATTAGCGCACATCAGTGAAAGAGAAAAATCACTTATTTACAAAATTTTATAACAAAAACTAAGAAAAAACTTTTTTTTTCAAAATTTTCAGTGGTTTTTGGTTTGTTTACGAAAAATAAAAAACCCAGAGGTGATTAAATACAACCAAAAGAAAGCTCTATCTGTCACAAAAAATGATAAAAATTTCATATGCGTACAGTGTTGCATGACCGCGCAATTGTCATTCAAAGTGACAGCTCTGAAAGCTGGAAATTGGCCTGGACAGGAAGGGGGTATAAATGCCCCGTAGGGGTAGTGGTTAAACTACCTGCAAAATTGCACATCTGTACAATTTATAGAATGTTGGGGATGCAACAGCATTTTACTATATACAGCATTGTGTGTTAATATCACTTGACCAGTAGATGGCACTGTACACTAAGGTTACCAGTTGTGCATATCTGTAAAACTTGTTGGTTCTTTTTCTTCTCTCTCTCTCTTCATAACCAAGATGTCTGCTGTTATAGTTTGCTGAAATCTTTTGTATGTTTGCAACTTAAGCCACACAAGTAAACCAAGTTCTGCCTCATCACAAGCTACTAGTGTCTTCTCTAACACATAACCAACAGGTTATGGGCCCAGCTCCAGACACTGGAAAAAGGAAAAGTACAAGCAAGTAAGTGCTGCATTTACAATCCTACCAAATCCTGTGTGAGGAAACAAGAGCTGTATCCAATTCACTGAAAGATGGCAAGTGCTTCAGATATGAAGTTTACAATAGCAAAGCTCAACAATACCAACTACCAGCTATGAAAGTTTAAGCTTGAAATGCTATTATCCAAAGACGACTTGTGGCAGGTACTAGATACACACAGACCCAATGACAACCCGGAAGAATGGGACAGACCCAATGACAACCCGGAAGAATGGGACAGAAAAAACAGGCAAGCAAAAGCAGTCATAAGCCTGTTAGTGGAGGACGATCAACTCATTCATAAAAGTGAGACATTAGAAAAAACGTCAAGAGTTTTGTAGTCATGACAAGCAACAAGTTTCAAAGGAAATCTGGAATAATACGCACTGACAATGGAGAGGAATATATGAATAAAGAGATGGCATCATACCTAAAGAAACAAGGTATTATACACCAAACAACTGTACCATACACTCCTGAGCAAAACGGTGTAGCGGAAAGAAAGAATTGCACTCTTGTAGAAATGACCAGATGTATGATTACGGACGCTGCCTTACCTAACAAATACTGGGGAGAAGCAATAATGAAGCAATAATGATGCAACATACCTACAAAACAGGCTCCCATCAAAAGCTATTGAGAGTACACCATATGAAATGTGGAATGGATCAAAACCTAACGTAGGACACATCAGAGTGTTTGGCTGTAAAGCATATGCCCACATTCCAAGTCAGAAATGCTCCAAGTTGGAGAACAAAGTCCCTCACTTTCTGCCCGCATCTGCCCGCATCGCCCACCTCCTAAACAACATACCAGACTGGATGTCGCTCCATTTCCTCAAACTTAACCTATCCAAAACCGAGCTCCTGGTCTTCCCCCCCACCCCGTGCCCCCTCCCATCCTCTCCATCACTACTAACAACGCCACCATCTCTCCCACCCCAAAGTCCTGGGTGTCACCCTGGACTCCCACCTCTCCTTCCTACCCCACATCCAACTGCTATCTAGATCTTGCAGGCTCTACCTCTGCAACATCTCCAAGATACGCACATTCCTCACCCCAGACACCACCAAACAACTCGTACACTCCCTCATCATCTCACGCCTGGACTATTGCAATTACCTTCTCACTGGCCTACCCAAACGAATGCTATCCCCACTCCAGTCGATCCTAAACTCAGCGACCAGACTCATCCACCTCACCAACCACTCCTCATCTGCCTCCCCCCTCTGCCAATCCCTTCATTTGGCTCCCGATTACCCAACGCATCAAGTTCAAGCTCCTAACCCTGACCTACAAGGCCATTCACAATGCCGCCCCAAACTACATAACTGACCTGACACCCAGATACTGCCCTACCCGTGCCCTCCGCTCCTCACAGGACCTCCTGCTCTCTAGCTCCCTGGTCTCCTCCTCCCACGCCCGATTGCAGGACTTCTCCAGGACTTCCCCATCCTCTGGAACTCCCTGCCCCAATCCATCAGACTGTCGCCTACCCTCCTCACCTTCAGTCGCACCCTGAAAACCCTCCTCTCCAGGGAAGCCTACCCCAACCTCACCTAACACCCGACCTCACCTAACAACTAACCTCCTCCACTCCTCCCGCCACTTTATCCCCCACAGCCATCTCCTCCTGTGCCACCTTCCCCTCCCTCCTAGATTGTAAGCTCGGAAAAGCAGGGCCCTCAAACCCCTCATGTATTGTATTGTTACTGTCTTGTCTCATGTTATGTCCCCCTTGCTACTGTACAGCGCTGAGCATACCCTTTGGCGCTATATAAATACTGTATAATAATAATAATAATAGAAGGCATTCTGGTGGGCTACAGTGAGCAGAGTAAGGGATATAGAATCCTTTGTCCAAAGACCAATAAGGTCACAGTAAGCCGCAGTGTTTATTTTGATGAAAGTGAAGCACCAGATAATACAATTCTTGAAAAATGTGGAGAGGATTTACGCGCTGAATCGGCAAGAGACACTGACCCATGCGAAGCAGGACAAGAGCCAGAACAAGAAGTGGAACTTACAATCAACGAGCCAATAGAACCCACTGAAACAACAAGAAATCAGAAGATCCTCTCGAATGACAAAAGGGATACCACCCCGCAGGTTATCATACGCTGCTAAAACACATCAAACACAGGAGCCAACATCCTGGGAAGACATAGAAACTTTGCCGAGAAGGGAAGCCGATCAGTGGAGAAAATCAGCTGAAGAAGAAATAAAATCACTTCAAAGAAAATAAAACTTGGTCACTAACAGAACTCCCTCCCGGTCGCAAAACCATCAGAAACAAGTGACTGTTGCACTTTCTTCAACTGAAGCGGAATACATAGCAGCAGCACATGCATGTCAAGAAGTCATTTGGATTCGTCAACTTCTACTAGACATGGGACTGAATATGTCACAACCCACACCCATCTTTGAAGACAATCAGGGATGCATAAAGCTTACACACTCTGAGAAGATTAACCCAAGAACCAGGCTGTCAGGAATGGACTCAGCACTGGTGGTGGGACTCACCTGCCGTGTGGGCTGCAGTACCAGAGCTGACCAGCGGGTGCTCTCAGCAGCCAGAAGCTCACACGTGCAATCAGCCAAACCTGGGGCTGATTGCAGAAAGGTGTATTTAAGGCATGACCAGACCTGTGATCTGGGCCTTGGTGTATGTTTTCCCATGAGCCTCTGTACCTGGTATCTTGTGTTCCTGCTTCGTTGCTGACCCGGCTTGATCCTGACCTCTGCTGACCGTCTCCTGTTGAACCCCTGGCTTGCCTGACCATCCTTCTGCCTAATCCCCTGTACCGCGCTGCCCGTGAGTTACTGAACCCGGCTTGTGACCTTGACCATTCTCTGCCTGCTCCTTTGGTACCTTGCTGCCCGCATGTTGCTGACTTGGCCCGTCTGACCATGCTAACTACTCTGCCATCCATCCATCCTGCACGGATCCAGCCGTACCTGCACATACCTTTGGCGGATCCCTCTACCACTAGCAGGTGTACTCAGGGGCCGCGACCTGGTTCCTGTCTGCTCCAAGTCCATCCCCACCATCAGGGGCCCTGGTGAATAATCAGACTGGGACTTAGACTCCGTGCCCTGGGGAATCCTGTCCTGGGGACTGCTAGAGGTACCAACCAAACGGTCATTACAGAACCCTACGGCCGGCCTGACCGTTCCACCTTTCCAGCCCTGACTACGCCTGTGTTCCTGCATCTCCTAAGATTAGTGGAAGGTTGGTTTGCTCACTGTGCGTTTATATATATATATATATATTATCTGGGTGGCTAATAATAAAACTGTACTATTATAGTATACCTGAAACCTGCGTTTCCCTGTGTCAGTCCACACCTTTCTGGTCATTCCTAGATTCCTGACATCACACCAATGTCCCTTTCCTGACCAGAAGTGGCTGCACAGGGAAGCCATCTTGACTTGTTGTGAAGGATGCATCCTGATGAGGTTATATATTTGTCTATGCTAGTCTTTGATGACAGAGAATATGCCTATCAGACTCTGCGGGAGTATACCAGGGATCAGCTGCTAGAGTGCATACGGGTCGCTCATTCCTTAGTAGGTCAGGACCTAGAGCTCTCTGAGGTGCAACCATTGATTCAGGCTTGTGTTGAGTTGGCTTCATCTAGTACCCCTGAAAACAGGGATGACTTCCTTCCTCCATTCAGGCGAGTCAAATAATATCACTGGTATGGTTGTTGGAGGATGATCCGGATTGCTTCTTGGAGCATTATTCAGCATGTTCACCACATGTGCTAAAGAAGTGTATAAAACGCAGTGCAATCTTCGACCAGACAGGCCTTGTGTAAGCTGAGCGTTGTCCAAACCCTTACTGCAGACATGGTCAGACTTGTTTACACCCAGCCTCAATCAGCTTGCAACAAACCAGTCCTGTTCTCATCATTCCTCTGCTCAAAGCTCTTTTCCTGCATTCCTGACAGCACCCCCAGTGACAGCCCAGTATACCCTGCTATCTACCACATGTCCGTACCCTGCTCCCACTCGCTGTACCATCGTGCCAGTCGACTCGGTGCCCAGTTGACTCGGTACCCCGCTGTCGTGCCAGTCGACTCGGTGCCAGTTGACTCGGTGCCCGCTGTCAAGCCAGATGACTTGATGCCTGATGATTCGTGCCCGCTGTCGTGCCCGTTGACTTGGTGCCCGCTGTTGTACCAGTTGACTCGGTGCCCACTGTCGTGCCCGTTGACTTGGTGCCCGGCCTGTTGTACCAGTTGACTCGTGCCCATTGACTCGGTGTCCACTGTTGTGCCAGTTGACTTGGTGCCCACTGTCGTGCCAGTTGACTCGGTGTCCACTGTCGTGCCAGTTGACTTGGTGCCCGCTGTCGTACCAGTTTTGACTCGGCCCAGTTGACTCGGTGCCCGCTGTCGAGCCAGATGACTTGATGCCTGATGATTCGGTGCCCGCTGTCGTGCCAGTTGACTCGGTGCCCGCTGTCGAGCCAGATGACCTGATGCTTGAGGACCCAGTGCCCGCTGTTGAGCCACATAACCTGATGCCTGATGACTTGGTGCCCGTTGTCGTACCAGTTGACTCGGTGCCCACTGCCGTGCCAGTTGACTCGGTGCCCGCTGTTGAGCCGGATGACTTGATGACTCGGTGCCCGCTGTCGTGCCAGTTGACTCGGTGCCCGCTGTCGAGCCAGATGACCTGATGCTTGAGGACCCAGTGCCCGCTGTTGAGCCACATAACCTGATGCCTGATGACTTGGTGCCCGCTGTCGTGCCAGTTGATTCACTGCCCACGGTTGTGCCAGTTAATTTGGTGCCTGCTGTCGAGCTTGGTGACCCGGTACCCGCGGTTCTGCTAGATGGCTCGGTGCCCGCTGACATGCCCGGTGACTCGGTGCCCGCTGACTTGCCAGGTGACTCTGTGCCCGCGGTTCTGCTAGATGGCTCGGTGCCCGCTGACGTGCCAGGTGACTCGGTGCCCGCTGTCGTGCCAGATGACTCGGTGCCCGCTGACGTGCCTCGCCCCCGCTGCACAGCCCGACATGCCAGCCCCTGATGTCCAGCTAAACTGACACCAAGAGAAGTCTACCAGCAGGAAACCCAGCCAGCCGGTTTACTCCGGCAGTAGGATATTCAGCCAGTTACCTGACCGGGCGGTGGAACATTTTGCCCACTAAGGACTGTTTGGAGCGTCCTGAGGCCACTCCTTGAGGGGGGGGTACTGTCAGGAATGGACTCAGCACTGGTGGTGGGACTCACCTGCCGTGTGGGCTGCAGTACCAGAGCTGACCAGCGGGTGCTCTCAGCAGCCAGAAGCTCACACGTGCAATCAGCCAAACCTGGGGCTGATTGCAGAAAGGTGTATTTAAGGCATGACCAGGCCTGTGATCTGGGCCTTGGTGTATGTTTTCCCATGAGCCTCTGTACCTGGTATCTTGTGTTCCTGCTTTCCAGCCCTGACTACCCTGTGTTCCTGCACCTCCTAAGATTAGTGGAAGGTTGGTTTTGCTCACTGTGCGTTTATATATATATATATAATATATATATATATATATCTGGGTGGCTAATAATAAACTGTACTATTATACTATACCTGAAACCTGCGTTTCCCTGTGTCAGTCCACACCTTTCTGGTCATTCCTAGATTCCTGACACAAGCACATTGATGTAAGATATCATCTGCTCAGAGACATGCAAGAACAAGGGGTTATCGACATCCAGTACTGCCCATCAGAGGAGATGACTGCAGATACACTCACCAAACCTTTGCCAAGGGAACGTCATTGTTTTCTACAAAAGAGACTAAATGTCATATAATAATGCACATGCCATTGAGAAGGGGTGCTGGGATGCAACAGCATGTACTATATACAGTATTGTGTGTTAATATCACTTGACCAGTAGATGGCACTGTACACTAAGGTTACCAGTTGTGCATATCTGTAAAACTTGTTGGTTCTTTTTCTTCTCTCTCTCTCTTCATAACCAAGATGTCTGCTGTTACAGTTTGCTGAAATCTTTTGTATGTTTGCAACTTAAGCCACACAAGTAAACCAAGTTCTGCCTCATCACAAGCTACTGGTTTCTTTTCTAACACATAACCAACATAGAACCTGCTGTAGAAAGAATGATATTTTTTATTAAAAAATTGACATGTTTATAATAAAAACAGCGTGCCCCCCCCCCCCCAATCTATATCATATTTGTTTTTATGTATTTTTTTCTTTAGATTATTTTTAAAAAATATTATTCTTTATTTAATTGTGTTGTTTTTTTGGAGGAGAGTATTTACCCCTCTATCTTATATAGTGTGGGGTGGATGCTGTGCACTGTGAGAGTGCAGTGCATTGTGGGGTGTTTGGCGGGCAAACAGTTGCTGGTGCCTTTACACCATAACCTTTCAGAGTTATTCTTGAGGAGTGCAGGATTAGGCTCTGCTCTAAAACCTTTAATTATATGCACCTGTCTTACGGTGCAGAAAAATTGGGCTTTGGGTGTTGGTGATGTCTGAACACTGTAACCCTCACAGTTACTCTTTCTGGGCACAGGCAGGGGCCCTGCAGTTACAAAATTGTTAACAATTACAGAAAAATGGCAAAAAATTAAAATGACATGCACCTGTTACACAGGTGCCTAAAAATTGGACCTTGGGTGTTGGTGGTGCCATAAACCCAGAAAATTGTTGGAAGATAGCAAAATCAGGATTCAGGAATAGGATAGGCAGTATAGGAAAGTATTCAAGGGATCCCATATCCCTAACAAATGTAATCAGTTACATCAGCATCAGGGAAAATATACTTGCTATTGATCCAGGACTGATTTATTTTGATAAATGTCAGCTGGTCAATGGAGTCTGTGGACACACGCACTCTTTTTTTTTCCGTCATAAGACCTCCAGCAGCACTGAATGTTCATTCGGAAAGCACATTGGATGCAGGACATGCTAGTAGCTCAATGGTATATTGAGCAAGTTCTGGCCAGTGATCCATCCTCAAGACCCAGTAACCCAGTGGATCCTCAGTTGGAAAGGTCTCCAAGTCTGCTCTTGCCCCCTAGATAATCCTGCACCATATCATGCAGACGCTGCCAATGGGTGCTTAAACCTAACAGCCCTGGGCGCTGAGGACTAAAGAACTGTTTAAAGGCGTTGGTCAGCCAGCCGCCTTCTCTACCACTCTTCCTTTGACAGAATGAAGCATCAGAAACAAGTTGTCCAGGAAATGGTAACCTCCCATTGTCAGGAAAGGTTGTTACGTACATTTTTTTAAGGCGTCCTCAAGATATTTTACCATCTGCTCGCTTTAGAACCCGCAGCTTGGCATCGCATGCCATTATTAAGCTTATGACCTACCAGAACCCCCAGATCCTTCTCCACCATTGATTCCCCCAGTTGTACCCCCCTAGTATGTATGACGCATGCATATTTTTTAGCCCCCAAGTGCAGAACCTTACATTTATCAACATTAAACCTTATAGTTGCCCAATTAAACAGTGTATTGAGATCGGCTTGTAAATTGGAGACATCCTGTAAGGACGTTATTCCACGGCACAGCTTGGTGTCATCTGCAAAGACTGAAACTGTAAATTTAATCCCAGACCCTATATCGTTTATAAAAATATATAAAAAAAACTTAGACTCTGTTCCTCAGCATCCTTTTAAGGGCTCACACCCTCTCCAAGAGTCTACTATTACTGTAAGTCCATCCATGGAAATCTGGTTCTCTTTGGCCCTCAGAAATGTTTTTTGTAACCCATTGGAGACACCCCTCTCTCTACTATCACCTAGGTGATTTCCTTGTAGCCATAACCTGTGAGGCAGGTATCAATATTTTTTTTTTACTGCACTGCTTCCCTTTCTTCTGGCTTTTGTTTCGGGGGGGGGGGGGGGTTATTTTGGTGTTTGAATATCTTCTTGGGTATATTTATTATTATTTAGTGTTTATAGAGTCTCTCTTTTATGCTGAACTGATTTTTTTTTTTTGCAGCAGGGCTTCTCTTGTGTTTTTGTTTCATGTGTGACTGATTACTGTTTGACCAATCTATCGGTCAGATTTCTAAGGTGAGTGGATGATGGATTGGGGGGTTCATAAAGAGATGGTTCGCACAACATAAAGGGGCAAGCTTCTTCCATGTCACTTGTGACAGAACCAACCGGGGGGGGGGGGGGGGGGACTGCAAGCCATCTTCTTGCCTACTGACCATGGCCTTGGCATCTGAGGAGACTCTATTCTTTGGTGTGTGCCTGAGAAGGACCCTTTGGAGTAGTTTGCTTTGGATTCAAGTCCATGTCTCCCCAATACACACAGATTCAGAGACCTGGAGGACCAAGATACATATTTGGAGTCTCTGTGCCCAAACTAGCATTGACTGCTTCAACACCCCCCCCCCCCCCCCCCCCCCGCCTCATTCAGAGACTCTAAGAAGATTTTGATATAATCAGCAAAACAACCTCATGCTGAGGACTCTTGCTTAATGTGTTCTCACATTGTGTGCCTCCTAGGTGTGCATTCTCATTGTTATAATTGAGTTACTTGAGTCACCTATTGTTTTTCTGTTGGCAAGTCCTTCTGGAGGTGCCTACCTAATACAATTAGACTGATGTCAGCTTCACCTTGTTATCTAATTAGCGTGGGATGTTAATCCCAAAGTGTAATATTTATTTTATTGTTCATGAGGGGAAGGGCCCTATTTCCGGAGTGTATAAAAACTGTATTTCTGTTCAATAAATTAATTCCAGTTTTGGAATCCAAGCGAGTGTCACCTAGTCTTGGTTGCAATGCCCAGCTATAATACCTTGGTCCTGTGTCCCAGTGGTGAGGAAGCAGTTCTCTGATGGAGTCACCCAATTGGGGTGACAGCTATTCCGACACATCACTGAAGAGTGGATCTATTGCACTTAGTATTGAGCAAGACTTCATTTTCACATGTTGCACATGATTTAAGGGAATTGTATCATTTTGCACATTCTTTGGCACTTTTATTGTGGGGTGAGGTTTTGTACGTTAAATCATTGGAGATCCATGTATTCATTTTACACTGTTTGGCACTTTTAGTATTTGCACATTTAATATGTTTTATGTAAATGTGTCATCAGGACACAGGAAGGGGCACTGCTCGCCGACCCAGTGCATGAGTATGTGGCTGAGTGTGGCTGAGTGTGGCTGAGTGTGGCCTCGCTCAATGCCACTCAAGTTTATGTACATTTAATATGTTTTATGTAAGAGTGATTATATTTATTTGGTGAATATTGATTAGTATTATATCATATTTTGGGGTATTATTTACTGTATATTTTTTTTTGTTTTCAATGCAGTGCTGCTTTCATAATGAATACTTATAGGAAAGGACTGGTGATTGTTATTTCTTAATCTTTTTAGCTTTTTTTGGCATGTTTGACCAGGAGATCTTAGAGCTTGTAGACCCATTATGGAGTCCTTATGAGTAGTCTAACATCTAGTTAAAGTTATGTGAAGATCCTTGGTTGTTGTAATCCTGATGTTTTAACCCCTTCCAGTCCAGACACTTTTACATCCTTCCTGTCCAGGGCAATTTTTAGCTTTCAGCGCTATCACACTTTGAATTACAATTGAGCGGTCATGCAATACTGTACCCATATGAATGTTTTACCATTTTTTTGAGACAGATAAAGCTTTATTTTGGTGGTATTTATTCACCGCTGGGATTTTTATTTTTTTTTACTATGTAAATGAAAAAAGCCCAACAATTTTGAAAAAAAGTGTTTTTTTAAATAAAATTTTGCAAATAAATAATATTTCATCATAAATCTTGGCCAAAATGTATTCCGTTATTTTTTTAGTAAAAAAAAAAAATCCAAATTAGTTTATAACCAAAAATTATAATTTTTAAACTTTTTTTTTACATTTTTATTTTATTTTTTTATATTATTATTTTTTTTTTTTATTTTTTTTTACATACTGTCACCCTAGCAGTACAGTGTCACCATGGTGACACTGTACTACTTGTGGGGGGTGATGAAGATTTTTTTTTTTTTACACTGATTGCTTTTACACCCATATAGGATGTAAAAGCAATCATTTCTCTTTCTCTCTGGCTGCATTCCTGCAGTCATTGAAAATTACTGAGTGAGCTGTGAGTTGTCACATGGTACAAGGCTGTTGTGAATAGCCTTGTACCATGTGACCTCTGTGGTCATTCACAGATTTCACACGTAGTAATCAATGATGTCACAAGTGACATCTTGCTTACTACTTTGCATGTGATCACTGATTGGCCAATCAGTGATCACATGATCGGGACCTCGTACAGAGGTCCCGTCCGACGATCGGTGTTTCCCTGTGTCCGGAGGACACAGCGGGCACCG